CCCAGACCACAAAAAGGTTAGACAATATTCCTGAAATTCTGTGAGTGGTTATCCACTGGGAGGCAAGAAGAGACGGAAGAAGAAGAAGAAATTAAGATTCTCATTAAATATTTTAAGATTAGTAAGCAGGAATATCCTTACTAATCTGCCTATTTGGGTGGCATAATCAGAAGTGACGATCTGAGCCATTGGATTGGCTGATATTGTCAAGGAGGCATATCAGGAGCAGAGCCAGCATAAGCCAGACACAGCCCTGGCTAATCAGCATCATTGAATCAATGCATCAATGAGGAAAGTTCAGTGTCTTGTGCACATTGTGCAGAACTGCCCCAGGAAGCACCCCATGTAGCCATCTGAGGAGTGGCCAGTGGAGGTATCCCTAGGCTGTAATGTAAACACTGCATTTTCTCTGAAGACACAGAGTTTACTGCAAAAAGCTTGAAGGGACTGATTATACTCACCAGAACAAATGCAATAAGCTGTAGTTGTTCTGGTGACTATAGTGTACCTTTAAGATTCTCAAGAATATTTGTGTACTTTAACGTTCATATTAGAATATACACATTGAGCGGACATATGCTTTCTCTGTGAGCAACCAATTCATACAAACATGAAAACTCAAAGAGCCAATGTCTTTCACAGTGTTGAACCAATAATTTAAATTTGAAATCTCAAAACAAAGACTTTTTTATAATTTGTATTAATATGAAAACTGTAAGGAAATATCATTATATACATTGTACAATTCATAATAATTTGAAATGTCTGTAAGTAGCCAACCTTCACATATAGTGCACAAGTCATAAATATGAAATACTTTTAAATATGCAACCTTTTTCTGTATTGGGTGCATCATACTAACTTGTAAGGCTAGTGAGCAGCAACATCTATTCCAGGGGTAGGCAACCTCTGCTAGAGCCAAACAGGCTCTGGCCTATCTGGTTAGATTTCCTCTGGATCATATTTTCATTATTATTCATTATATTCATTCATTCATTGTTATTGCCAACAGTTCCAGACGGCATTACACTGCACCACGATATGCGCCACCATACCTCAGTGGTGAACTCAGCATTCAAAAAAATTTAAAATCCATAACTAGAATATTTAACACGGCTACCAATTTCATTCTACTAATCTGGCGTAAACCAGGAACACCACATCTGTGGCTCAAGTTTTCTAAAATGGAGGCGCTTAAATGTAGCACTTCTAGTTGCATTCAAATGTAGACTGTGATCTGGGCCCAATGGCTGACTACTATGCAGTCTGCTGATTTTCACGCAGTCTTTAATAGCCCTTAACTTATAGCTTACATTCACACTTATATCTGCAGTAGATGATTTATTAACAGTTTGGTATAGCCAAAGATGCTAGACATCGTACCATTCACAGAATTTATCTACATTTCAATGATAAAGACATAAGCACAGGGTTGGAATAACTGGTCACACAAAGCATCTGAAGTACAAACTAAATGTAACTATATTGCAGAAAATAATTCAAAAATAATAGAGGAAATTGTTATCAATGGGCACTTCTGAGAAATGTATTTTATCTACCATCAGGAGACCCCCCCCCCAAATACATGGATACAGAAGTAGATTTAAAAAAAAAAAAAAAAGTAACTTGGTTTAACCTGTCCCTCACAACCATCACCATTTTCTTCTAGGGGATCCTCTTTAACTACTGGCACGTCATCTGCCAGGAGCTCACATCTGTGCTGTACTCTTGCCTCCATGAAAAATACCCTTTTAATTAACAAAGCTTGACGGCGGTAACTTTATCAATCATAGGAAAAACACATGAGACAAGGTAGCAACAATATTTTGTCTTATGACGGCGTTGGAATTTCAGGTAAATTTCAACACAGTCTATGTGAGTATTTCAAAAAAGTTTTTAGACTCTGTTGACAGAGTTGCTTTAAGAGAGAAGTTGATATTAATGGATATATTTAATAAGGATTGATTATGAGGTGAGGCAATTACAGATTTTGTTAAAGCCTAGTCATTTACTATTTTTTTTTTTAATCATATTCTGCCATTTTTGTTCATAGCAGTGATTACACAATGATTCGACCCTGCTGTTTTAGAGCAGTTAACCTTTGAAATGGGATATCACACAACACACCCACTGTGGATGTACATTTTTGGTTTTAAGGGTAAAGTAACATGCAGAGTGGATAAAATCTATTAAAGAAAAAGAAGATATATATTAAAAAAAAAAAAGGAAAAACAACCTTTTTTGGATATAAATTGTATTTAAGATACATTATAATGCAGGTTATATAGCATGAAATAGAGATCAATTATGTAGCATGTATGTTATTATTATTGGTATTTATATAGAGCCAGCTTATTCTGCAGCGCTTTACAATAAATGGGGAATTTACCAAATCAGACAATAACAAAATGTAACAGAAACAATACGTAGCTGAGGACCCAGCTGAAACAAGCTTGCAGTCTAGAGGAGGTGGGGTATAAAAACACAATAGGAATGGTATTGAGAGATGCAGCAAATAAACACGGTGGGAAAGTAGCAGAACTGGAGGCGAGAGTGGCCCTATAGGAGAGAGAGCGAGAGGAAGGTTTCATTAACATTGAGTTCCATTTTTCCCAACTAAATCAAACTTGTGTCTGCATGGAGAATATGCACGTTTTTTTAGCAAACTTTAAATTTTATAAAAGTAATAATAATAAATTTTTTTATTATATATATATATATATATATATATATATATATATATATATATATATATATATATATATATATATATATATATATATATATATAAAACACAAGATCCAGCGCACTCACCTATCCACTAAACAGCAACTTCAATGTTGAAAGATTGTATTAGTTTTTTTTAAAACACCTAATCTAGGCAAAAATAATGGGGGTTTAGTTACATTATATGATCATACATTGCATAAGCCTGCCACAACGTCAATGTACCCCATCTTTGGCAGGTCCTACATTAACAGCCTAATGTCTGCTCTTATGAGATTAACCTACTTGGGGAAAAAAATTCCATCTGGGGCTCTCTGCAGTACAAGGCTAAATAGGGCCCTGGGATGAGGCACCTGTGACAGGGAGGGGTGAAAAACCAAGGAGTTGGCTAGATGGGGTACATTGACGTTGTGGCAGGCTTATGCAATGTATGATCATATAATGTAACTAAACCCCCATTATTTTTGCCTAGATTAGGTGTTTTTAAAAAAACAAATAAAATCTTTCAACATTGAAGTTGCTGTTTAGTGGATAGGTGAGTGCACTGGATCTTGTGTATTGTATTATTTGGCCCCCAGCAGCACCCCCATTTATGCATGTTAAGGTGAGTGCAGCCAACCCCCTCTTGTTATATATATATATATATATATATATATATAATAATAAAACAAAACAAGAGGGGGTTGGCTGCACTCACCTTAACATGCATAAATGGGGGTGCTGCTGGGGGCCAAATAATACAATACACAAGATCCAGCGCACTCACTATATATATATTTATATATATATATAAAAATAAAGACCTTAACCCCTTCAGGACGGAGTCAATAGTGCACGTTCTGATCAA